GTTTCTTCATCACATGCTTGCTGCTCCATGAGGCTTCCTCAGGTCTCCTTCTGGCTCTTCATCCTGCTTCCTTCTTTTCTTAAGAATCCTTCTCTTCTTTCCTCTGCTCAGCTCCACCCTCCTTCTGGGTGGGGCAGGGAAGCTGGGACTTCCCCTTTTCCTAGGGACCACCCAGTTACACTTGGGCATCTTCTTCACAAGCCTCTCTGCTCCACGTGTCTCCTCCAGGAGACTCCTCTTTGTGCTTCAGCCTCCTTCCTTCCCCATTCTTCTCTCCAGCTTCTTTCTCTGGGTTCAGCTCCACTCCTCTTTGGGTGGGGCAGGGAACCTGGCACCTCCCCTTTTCCTGGGGACCACCCAGTTACACTTCCGCAGTAGAAAGCAACATCTTAGAATCTTGTCTTTTACTAACAACCAAATACAGAATTACATTGGTAAACATGCCCAAAACAAATGATGTAGACAAAAATTCCCCAAAGCAAATCCTTCTAAACTCAGACCTTATAAAAACCTTTTTTCCAAAAAGCCAATAAGGCTACCAGCAGTTACCCATTATTGCTCAAGGCTTCTTTCATCTTAGCAACCAGGCACACATTTGCCAATTCAGCCCACCCATTGTTCCATCATAGCTTGCAAACCCCCCTCAGGCAGAGATCAGGAAGTAGTCACAGTAAAAACAAAATCACTTCACCTATCCCCAAAGGACCAGTACAGCCTTTAGCATTGCTAATCAGACCTGTCAATCAGCAGATATCACAAACAAAAGTCCAAAGTCCCTGCGACTTAACTTTAGCTAACAAAGTATACCAAAAATACAAAGCAAATTTTAGGAGAACAAAAACTTCTGAGTTCCAGAGAAGCCTGCCAAAAGGCTTCAGACACTACCTTTGATCTGGCCACAGAGTCCACCATGCTACCTACCATTTTTTGAAGTCAAACTGCCTTTTACCACATAGAACAATGACCTAGCAAAGGTTCACCACTTTATGACACAAAGAAGGTATACAATAAAAAGTTATGGAAAATTAAATTAATAAAACAGATTATTAAATTCATATATAAAACATTCTTACATTTTTAAGAGCTGTTTCTGAGAATTCTTCATGATGTAACAGGGTGGTCCCTAGGAAAAGGGGAAGTTCCAGGTTCCCTCCCCAACCCAGAAGGAGGATGGAGCTGAGCAGAAAAAAAGGAGAGAAGAGAAGGAATCGGAAGAGAAGAAAAGAAGGAAGCTAGATGGAGAACAAGAAAGAGACCTGAGGAAGCCACAGGGAGCAGCAAGCCTGTGATAAAGAAACCGGGCTTGTGTCCTGACCCTGGACTGATTATGGCAGATATGGGTGAGAGGTGACTATAGGGAGGTGTAGGGAGGTGACTATGGCAGTGTTTATATTGATTTTGACTTTGCTCTTTTCCTCCCAAATTTGTCTGGTCATTTCTGACCCTTTTCCATGGGTCCTGGCCAGAAGGTGCTTTAGTCTTGTGGCGGGCTTTCAGGCCTTGCTTTGAGCCAATCCCTTTTGGGTTGACTTCTGCCCACAAGGGGGTGGGTAGCTTCAGGTGTTTGATTTAGAAGTTATATTCTCTGTGTTCCGTATTGTATATTTACTATATTAAAGTCCCTTTTCATTGAAGTTTTATATGTTTCATCTTGACGTGGCGGGTGGCAGAACCCACTTAGAGCAGGCAGGTTTGGGGCTTCAGGGGTGCCCCTCTCTCCCTGCCCTGTAACAATTAGACTTGGTTTGTAGCTTGAATTATCATATTGCCAGATTCCCAACTTGATTCAATAGAAAATCTACCTAATTTATGTGGATACTGGAAAGCCATCAACCTCTCTTCCCTGGCCAGTGGAGAAGGGAAGTGTAGTTCACTTGGTCAACAAATTGAGGAGGGCCGCAGGCTACATCTGAAAACACCACAGTCCTGGCCTTTGACAGAGTGCAGGGGTATTTATCAAGAATTATGAGGGGGTCGAAGGGAGAGAAGGCAAGGGGCAAAGCCACCGAAATAGCAAAAATATGGAGTAACCAAACTCCCACATTGTCAAACATTTTGCCAAATGTTTGACAGTATTTAGTAAAGCTGAACATATATCTACTTTATGATCAAGCAATTGCTCTTCCAGGAAAATACTCTGCAGACATGCATTCCTATATCTATCAAAACATGGACTAGAATGTTCATAACAGTACTCACTATTCATAAGAAGAAAAACTACTAAGTGTTTTGTCCCAACTTCTGTGACCGGCAGAAGAAAGGAAGGCGGGAGGCAGAAAGGCTGAGCAAGTAGAATTTATTGCTCCTGGACGGCAGCTGAGACAGACCCCACCTGAGACGGAGCCCCTAGTGTGGGACCCCACCTGAGATGGAGCCCCTAGGGTGGGGTCCGCAGCTACTGCCAACTCTATAGGGGTGAAGGGTCTCATATAGATTCTAAGTTCACATTCTAAAGGGGTGACTCATCGCTGTGTCCTTTTTTAAGGCCCAATTCATTATAAAACTTGGATGTGGGGCCCAGTTTGTTATCACCTTCAGCTAGTCCCATCCCAGATGCAAGGTCCCGTTAATTGGATGCAAGACCCAGTTTGTTACCACCTTATCACCTTTGGATGCAAGGCCTGATTTATTACTACCCTTATCCAGTCCCTCAGTAAATCTCACATTTGGTCACTCCCAACAGAAAGTATTGCTACCGTGAACAGGAAAGATAAAAGTATGCTACAACACAGAATAATATGAAAAAAAAAAAAAAAAAAACAAGATAGGAAAGCTGGACAACATTATCATAGGTGAAACCTACAGACATTATTTTCTTTTAAAATATTTATTTATTCATACAGAACTGGGGTACAGGCCAGAGATTCGGAGGGTGAGAGGATTCACCAGAGACAGAGTGGGGAGCAGAACAGGCAGACAGATCAACAAATTACACTGCTGAGGGGAGCAGCAGGCGGGTCAAGAGAGGTCTGCCAGGCCATGTGGATCTCCTCGGGGCAGGCGGGGATTGAATTCTTGTGGAAGTGGCTTAAGCTTCTTAGTGCAGTGCTTTAACCCGCTGTGCCACCAGGGAGGGCCAGAGACATTTTTTTTAACTTTTAATTTTTTATTGATCATTGTTGAAGTATCATTATTTTATATCCCCGCTAGTGTTTGACAGTACTGGATTTCTCTGCTCAGCACTCACAGTTCTCTACCATAAATCCATTGTGTTCTTCCCACTTCCCTCCCCTCTGAAAGCTGAAGATCTTTGGTCAGTTTTCAGGAGTTGGTTATAAAGTTTGTCTTTGGTTTTTCTACATTTCAAATATAAGTGACATTATCCAGTATTTATCTTACTCCTTCTGGCTTTATTTCACTTAGTATAATCCCTTCCAGCTCTATCCATGTTGCTGTAAATGGCATGAGTTTATCTTTGTTGGTTGCTGAATAGCATTCCATCGGGAATACACACCACATCTTCTTGACCCACTCATCTGTTTTGGGGCACATACGTTGTTTCCATATCTTGATCATTGTACATAGTGTTGCTATAAACACAAGTGCAGATTTCCTTTCTATTTAGTGTTTTTGTATATTGGGTGTAAAGATCTAGGAGTGGATTGCTGGATCGTATGACAGGTCCATGTTTAGTTTCAGAGAAACATCCAGGTTGTTTCCATACGACCTGGGCCAATCTATGTTCCCACCAACAGTGTAACAGAGTCCCTTTTTTTCTCCATAGAAATATAATCTTTAGCAAAAGAAAAACACAAAAGTGTGTATATCGTATGATTCCATTTAGATAACGCTGAAAAATTAGCCCAGTTGCTCTATGTTACTGGCAGAGTAGATAGATAATAGATATCTGTGAGGAGAGGGGAGTGCACTGAAGAGGGCCCCAGGGCCCCTGCTAACATTGCTTTTTGCTATGGGTCCGTTGACTTGTGCAGAGTCCATCAAGTTGTACACTAAGGGTATCTGAACTTTGATGTATATTGATTGCATTTCAATAAAAACTTTTTAAAACTTGGTTTAACGCTAGAGGACTTTCCCCAAGCACACAGACTTCGAGGACTGGGCTTTGGGCTGCAGAGGTGAGCAGAAGCAGCCCTTTCCAATTTCAGCCCTTCAGCCCCCACAGAAGGTTGTGGGGGACTGGCTGTGTCTTTGGGGGTGGAAACTAGGGCTTCAGGGAGGGACATGAAGTGAGCACAGGGTACCCTTTTAGAGAAAAGAGTCTGAGAAATCCTGAAAAGTTATGTTCAAAACGCTGTTTGGGACCGCCCTGCTGGCGCAAGGGGTTAAGTCTCAGCACTATGACGCTATCAGCAGCCACAGTGGCTTGAGTTGATCAGAGCAGACCTCTCCTGTCTGGCCCACTTCTCCCCTCAGCAGTGTATTTCAGTAGATCCGCTTGTTCTGCTCCCCTCTCTGTCTCTGGTGAATCCTCTCACACAGCCTCCTCCAACTCCTGCACCTCTAGTTTACACCCAGCTCTTGTATGCATAAATACACAAAATAAATCTTAAAATAAAAAAACAAAAACTCGCTGTGTATACGTTTACACATGTTTTCTTGGGTAAACGTTCAGTTTTCAGCCAATGGATTGGCTCCCTGTCCGGAGGACTCCGTTTTCAAATCATTTAAGAACTGTGTGACTAGGTGAAGATCCAGGATATAGTAACTAACCTGGGATCAACTAGTCTTGCACCTTAGTGTCTCTGGAGTACGACGATAGGTCCAGAGGGCTCCCAGTTTTCGTCAGCTGGGACTTCCGAGCTGGGGACCCCTGAGCCGCGAGGGAGGGGAAAGACCAAAATCGCAGGTCAGGGCTCTGGACAGAGGCGGCTCGTCGTCCTCAGGTCCCGCCCCGCGGAAGGCAGGGTCGGCTCTAGGGCACCGGCGGCCTCCGCGAGGGTGTGTGCGGGGAGGGGAGAGTGATCAGTCCGGAAAGACTAATCCTTTGCTGGAGGCGGATCCTGCCCAGTTGGGGGCAAGTAAAACCTGGCGGTGGCAAAAGGAGTTGGTTCCGCGTCTGACTCGGGCTGGGGAGCATGAGGCTTGCCATTGCTGCCCTGCTGTGCGCGGGGGCCCTGGGTGAGTGTCCTGCGAGCGGGTGAGGGCAGGACCTCTAAGATGGGGGCCGGGTGCTAGCCAAGGGTCAGCGGTAGCGGACACTGTGCGGCCTGATCTAAGCTGCCGGGCTTCTGCTTGGTCTCAAGTGCGCTGTGCCGCGCCTGCACAGGAACATTGACAAGCCCTTTCTTGCAGAAACTCTAGCTTAGTTCGGGTGTTGGCAAACTGATCAGTGAGCTAAATCCACCTCTCAGCAGGTGGCGTGTATAACTGAATGAGTTCAACATGGTTTTACATCTTTCAATAATGGAGAGAAAATCAAAAGTCGGACTTTGGGCACGTAAAAATTATAGGAAATTTAAATTTCAGGGCCCAGACATAACATTTCATTGCAGCAGAGTCATATGCTCATTCAGATGAACATTGGTCTATGGCTGCTGTGTTCAGGTTCAAGGGCAGAGTTGAGTGGTTGCCACAGAGACTGCGTGGCCCGTAAAACCTAAAATTCTTTACTGGCTATTCTATTACAGAAAAAGTTCATGATCCCTAACCTAGCGCTTTTGATCCCACTTAGCATCAAAGAAGCAGGGTCAGAGGAGAAAAGGCTTTTTTCTTGGAAGTCAAGGGTATTATGAAGTTGACAGTCTTGTAGTTTGACCTGTCAAGATCTTTCCTGCTCTGACCTGTCCAATGACTTCCATCCCTCCCGCACAACAGGGAGGTAGAGGAATGCAGGAGAAAAACATTCAGTCTAGAATGGGCTCCATTCACCACTCACTGCTGTGCGACCGACCAACCGGGGACAGTCGGAGCCGGCCTCTCCATCTGCTCAGTAAGAATTGTTTTATCACAAGAAACACACAGTTGCTGTCAAAGTGAGGTGAGATAATGCAATGACACAGCTCTAGACATGTGAGTTGGCAGGAGACTCCAGTCTGCACATAAATGTAGGGTCCCTCCCTATATCAGGGAGAGCCCAAAGCCCTGTGCGGCTATCTGTAAGGAAAGTAAAAGTGTAGAGTCATTGAGCTCATACATGGGAAGAGTTTAGGAGTTGGCTCAGTAACGACTGGTTGTGGCTAGAGGAGGCTCTGGAAGACTATTGTACTTCTAAGGGTATCATGTGTTTGGGAAGTTTGTAACTGGGGAAGGGCAGAGAGAGAAGACAGAAGGGTAAGGAGTGACAAGGGGAGCTTCCCACAGGGGGACTCTGGGCCCACAAAGTGAACTCTGCAGGGGTCTGGGGAATGTAGTGAAGGTGCAGTCAGAGGGCAGCCCCCTTGGTTGCCAAATTTTTCTTGCACAGGATTTGTGTTGTTTATTCTTTCTCCATCTCCCCTGCTGGCCATGTCAGCCCGGACTGACCAAAGTTCATTTTCCCAGTTGACTCTGTTTACGAACCAAAGACAACTGTCTGTCCTCCTAGTTCTTCCCTATATTCCTGGTCTCTTGGTTACTAGACAAAGCTGGAGCCTAAGATGTTTTTTTCTTCAAAGCTTAGTGCTCTTCAGCAAAAACTCTTTGGGAGCAAATGACAGAAATGCAACCAAACTGGCTTAAATTGAGAAAAACAATGGGAACGGAGTGAGTGCTAGTAGGTCTTACAAGAGCCAAGAGTTCAGAGTTCAGAACAGGGGCTTCCGTCCTTGGTGGCACAAGAGGTTAAATCTCAGCACTATGAGTTCGATCCCCAGCCAGGGAGCTGACCCACACAGCACAGCAGACCTCTCCTGTCTCAACCTCTGCTACCCTCAGCAGTGTATTTCAGTCAGGCCATCTGTTCTGCTCCCCATTCTGTCTGGTGAATCCTCTCAAACACCATCCCCCCCATACCCCAGTTCTTATATACATAAATAAATAAAATAAATCTTTCAAAAAAAAAAAAAAGTTCAGAACAACCTGAACTCCTCTGTTAGCCTCTTGCTCTCATAGAGTTTAAGAGATTTCTTCATGAAGTGAACATGTGGCTATCAGCTGCTATCCCTTTGGGGATCTGTTTGAAATGTTCACAATGAGCTTTGATTGCTCTTTCTTGAAACTGCCCCATAGCTTGCATCAATCTTTTTTTTTTTTAAGATTTATTTATTTGTGCATACAGAACTGGGGCACAGGCCAGAGGTGCAAGGGTAGTGAGAGGATTCACCAGAGACAGAGTGGGGAGCAGAACAGGCAGATCTTCGAAGTACATTACTGAGGGGAGCAGCGGCTGAGTCAGGAAAGAGAGGTCTGCAGCGCCATGTGGTCACCTCCAGGGCAGGCTGGGATCGAACTCATGCAGATGTGGCTTTAGTTTTTTAGGGCTGTCTTTAACCCGCTGCACCACCAGCGAGGGCCCACATCAATCACTTTTAATGAGTGAACTGGTCTAACTTATTTGACCCATTTATCCTTAGCTTGCTTGAATATTTTACTTCTTAAAATTATTTCATATTGAAGTATAATTTACATGTAATTAAATGTACTAGTTTTAATTGTACATACAACCCAATGATTATTGCCAAATATACTTACCCAGATAACTATTGCCACAATCAAGATAAAGAACATTTCAGTCATTCCCAAACTTTCTCCTATCCCTTCCTTATCTTTTTTACTTTCTGCCACTATAGATAGATTTTGCCTTTTCTAGGATTCCATGGATACATGGAGTGGCACACTATGTAGCTTTTGTATCAGGCATTTTTCATTCAGCATCATTTTTAGAGATTAATCCACATTGTTGCATGTGACAAAGTATATTCCTTTTTATTGCTGAGCAGTATTCCATTGTATGACCTTACTGCAGTTTGTTTACCCATTCACTTATATTTGGTTTTGTGGAGGTTTTTTCCATAAAAGAATTGGGGTGTAGACTCAAGGTTGTTGGAGTGGGAGAAATGAGAGGATTCATAAGAGACAGAGTGATGAGCAGAACAGGCAGATTGTTTACTGAAATACACTGCTGAGGCAAGCAGTGAGTGAGATGAGAGAAAGATCTGCTGTGCTTTGTGGGTTAGCTGCCTGGTTGGGGATGGAATTCGTGAGCTTGATAACACTGAGACTTCAATCTCTCAGGTCACCAGAGAGGCCTCTATGATGCATTTTTAGTTAATTTTGGTCTATGGTGTTACGTTTTGAAATTCTTATTTCAGAACTTGATTTGAAAAGAATATTCTTTCCTCACTAAGTTGCATTGGAAGTTTTATAAAAAATTTACTAATCTTACATATGTGGAGTAATTTCTAGTCCCCTGGCTGTTCCATCAAAGCTATATGTCTCTGCTTGTGCTAATATCAAACTGTCTTGATTACTGTCTTGATTAGCTTTACACTAAGTCTTGAAAATTCAATTATTCTACTTCAGTGTTGGTTTGGCCATTTAGATCCTTCACATTCATGCACATTTTGGAATCAGCTTACCAACTTCTATAAAATAAACCAAGTTTAATCTTGGATGATTGGGATTGCATGTAATTTATAGATTATCTGAATGAGATTTGGCATTTTAACAACATTGAGTTTTCTAATCCATGACCATTTTATATCTATTTATTTAAATAGGTCTTCTTTCATTGACAATTTTTTCTTTCATTGAGCAACACCACACTGACAAAGGAACGGGAGTCGTGGAGCAGGCTACATAAAACAGGATGCTGCTGAAGAACGAACTCTTGGCCTTTTTATTGGTACACTAGTCATACAGGATTAATCATGTGAGGAAATAAAAAAAAAGAGAGAATTAGAAGAAGCTGGGGGAATGGTAGAACTGTGCATCTGCTGGAAGTTTGGTGTATAGAACAGCCCTGACTCAATCCCCAGTCAGGCTTTCAGTCTTATCAGTAAGGCTTTCCACTGATCAGCTTCTGGGGTCTTTTGCTATCATCAGTCAGTGGTCCCCCCTGGCGTTCCCTGTGGTACCTCATGATGTGTAAGTCAGGAGTAAGTTTATGCATTATGCTCTTAATTGATGTGAAAGGTGCCTCATAGGTTGGGCTCTTACTTAAAATGGAGGCTATATAAGCAACCTCGGATTAGCAGACCCACAATTCTACAGGTCATGTTCATAAATTGTGAAATTTATCTCTTGATGTGATTAGTACTTTTCAATTTTGTATAATTTTTTTTAGTATTATTGAAATTCAATTGATTTTACATACTGTCTTAGAGTCTAATGGTTTATCTCAACATGTGTTTTAGCTATATGTTTTTTTTTTTTTTGCAGGTTCCAAACTTTTCTCTCTCTATATATATATATATAAACCAGTTATCTATGAACAAAGACAATTTGTATATCTTTTATTTCTCTTTGAGTCTTATTGAAATGGCTAAGTCCTCTCATATAATGATACACAGGAATGTTAAAAGTATATTTGTGGGCCCTCCCTGGTGGCGCAGCGGGTTAAAGCACAGCACTGAGAATCTGAAGCCACTTCCGCATGAGTTCGATTCCCGCCTGCCGCCTGCCCC